GTCTGGACGCGTACAACGATCGTGATAGGTATAACATACACAGGGAGAATTGAGGAAGACTCTGGACTCCATGCTATTGCTGCAAGTACATGTTCAAGGTTCTGTCAAGTACTAGAAGAAAAGAATGAAATCGTTCAACTGTGAACACCCTCGATCTTTCATCAAAAACAAAACAAAACAAAAACTGAAGTGAAAAGAGAGCCTTGAAGTAGGGTGAGAAGGAAGAAACGGGGAAATAAGCCCACGAGCACTTGAATCGACATGCATACAAGTAGTGTTGCCCGAGGCTGGCTATGGTTGGCTAGCCGAGCTGATGGATCGGCTTGAGCTTAAAATAGTAGTTCGAAAAAGCCAAGCCACTTAGAACCAGCTCGCTTGGCTGTGAAGCCGGCTGGCAGCCGGCTAGCTGTCAGTATATTGAATCTATCCTACTGCTTGCTGAAACCACTCAAATGCGGCTCGGCTCCAGAGCCTAGCCAATTCGATCCGGTTTCTAAAAACCGGCTTCAGTTGGCTAGAAATGGTTGCGGCTGTCGGCTTAGCCGCAGTCGAGCCAAGCTGTGGGCAACACTACATACACTGTAGCTCAACCCTGCCTCTGGAGGGGGGCTCAAGGAATCGATACAGCTCGCTCTGGGACCTGTCATATCTGAAAAAATGGTTGTGAAAGCAAGCCATAAAAGCGTTTCTTCAACATATTCTTCCTGTTCTTACCTCAACAAGTACTACTTGGTCGACTGTCGCAGCCCGTGCGTTTGGAACCAGGGTCCAGGCTTGGACTAGAGCTTGAGATTTAAAAGCTTGACGAGTTTATGCCTTGATACTTATATTTTCTGTTTGAAATATTTTCTGCAATTTTCTCTTGCGGGATTATTGCTGTATGTATCGCATCGAGTTGGAAGAGGGGGAAGCGAGACGAGAAGCCCCAGCTATCACCGCTTCAGGAAACTGCTTCCGCGAATCCGCCCCTCTTTTCCAAACTTACAGCTTACACCCCCATGTCCTCTATCCCAGATGATAGACTTGAAGGAGACTTAAAGAGGCTTTTATCGAGTGATTCTCTGAAGCTACCGATCTCCACTCCGGCGATTC